CTTTAACAAATATTTAAACAGTTTTTTTTTATTTTTTAATGAAATAAACGAATTATATCGACAATATTAGTATCTGTACTCTTTAAAAATTTGGTACATCTTTAAAAATAATCTAAAATGTCAATAGTCCATGGGTATATTGATAAATAAGTTCTAAATTACAAGAAAATGCATTTTCTACGGAAACTTAAAGAGATAGGTAAAAAATGGTATAATATAATTTGATAGACAATTAAATTGTGCATCTGACTGTCGTAAAATATACACGGTGTTTCATTTAAATTAAACAAGTTATTGCCGTTTGAAGCTAATAATTATTTAAAATAAATTTTTAGACACTCTGTATAAGGTAGTATTATATTTATTATTGCAACACAATAACTAATCAGCAAATAAACTTCAGTAAATATTTAGTATTAAAAACTTTGATACCCTTGGAGAAATGAAGCCTTAAAATTTTTACTGCAATTTCACAAAATTGAAAATATTTCAAAAACGGTAAGGTTAAGTATAATAAATCTTAATCAAATTTACCTTTATTTTAATCGTAGAAACTAAAAATGTAATAATATACAGGGTGTTTCATTTAAAAAAATACAACTTTGATATTTTTTACTTATTTGGGACACTCTGTATCTTGTAAAATTATTTTTAAATTGTACCTCTAATAGTCCTTCATCGAACCCAAAACTTACAATTTGTAAAAATCTCATCGTTTAGCTACAATACTCCGTGTCGTATGTGGTGAACAACCCTGTACACTCGGATATACATCATGTATTAAAGATGTTATTATTGTTTGTGATAAAAAAGGCTTCTTTAAATTTACGTTATTTCCAATAAAGTTCCTCATGGAAAACCCAACTTTCCAATCACTTCATGTTGTGCAGCTTGGACTACACATGGTTCAAAATATCTGACTTCGTTGTTTCAATTCTGTGTGTATGTTTATACCTACGTTCTTTAAGTCGTACAGGGTAAACTTCAATTTTTGTAGCTGTTATTGAAATTTAAGATTTATTCTTCATTTTTTAAAAATGTTAAATATGGACTTGCAATCAATCGACTGGCTCGTGAAGGATCTGGCCGTTATGGGTGTCCTAAGATTAAGGGAATCCAATCTGTGGAACAAGACCAACTACGGTCACTTAAGGATTATAACGCCAGTTGCTTCCGTAACTTCAGAAGGTACAGGTATAGGCATCTTGTCAGAGAAACTAGACATCTGACGATCTTTAAGGTAATCGGATGGCTGTAATGTTCAATGAACAGAGATTTACGCTATAAAGGAAGCAGCCAAAGTAGAGAAAATCGCTGATAGACCAATAAGAGATCGTGATATACTCCGAGAGCTTGGGCGCTTTAAGAAGCATCAACATGCAATCAGTGAGATTGAAAACTGTGATAGACTGCCAGATAGGATCGCAAACCCCTGCAGCCTATGGTAACTGCATATGGTGTTTGCTCGACGGCATAAAGTTTTACTATTCTTAAATTGTTTACTAGAATGGTTTGACTGAAAACTGAAGTACTGTACTCTGTGTGTCGTTTTTATTATTAACAGAGAGTTACTATTGTATATTAAAGACTAATAGATACTTATATCTTGCTTCTTTGAAAGCGCAATGTTATACATAGTGTAATGTTGTTGTACTAAATATATATTATTAAAAATATAAAATTAAATTTTTCGAAATATAAATTTCGAGGTAAACGCAGAATAATCAGTTAAGAATAAAGGAAAACACAATACAGAACCGGCGCGCAAATATCAAACTGCAATGAAGCGTCAATTACAGGAGAGGAAAATGTGTGTGCGTTTCTATGAGAATTTTTCGGAAAATTCGGCGGAACGCGATGCCGAATTTATCGGGGGCGGTGGCGGCCGGAAATCAAGCAAAATCCGATTTGTTAACTATGGGGCAGGAATTGGCGCGCACCTTGGAAATTTCTCGCTAATGTGGCCTTTCATGGTAAACGGGCCAAAAAAGCACTTATGCGCACTTTAATATCCTGCATAACTCGCTGGATTTTAGAATTTACCGTAGCGAATCATTCGATACGGTTTTGAAATGCGAAAAGTAGAAAATTTAAATTTCTCATCGATTACCCACTCGAAAATTATCTAAGTATCGACGTAACCTTATTGAAGAATCTAATATATTATAGCTTTGAAATATATTTTAAGAAACGTAGAAGCAATATATACTCGGATATACATCATGCATTAAAGATGTTATTGTTGTTTGCTATAAAAACGGCTTATTTAAATTTTCGTTATTTCCAATAATGCTTTTTTTTGTGGAAAACACCATTTTCTAATCATGGTTCAAAATATCTGACTTCGTTGTTTTAATTTTTTTTATATGGTTTATATGTTCGTTAAGTCCTATATTTTAAACTACAAGTTACGTAGCTGTTATTGAAATTTAAGATTTGTTCTTTATTTTTAGAAAATGTTAAATATGGACATGGATAAATCAATCGACTGGCTCGTGAAGGATCTGGCCGTTAAGGGTGACCTAAGATTAAGGGAATCCAATCTGTGGATCCAGATCAACTACGGTTACTCAAAGATATTGCCAGTTAATATTATAATATCATAATCATGGGGAACATGAGTCCACATCTGCCAGACCGGAAAACGGACTATATGCTCACCAAACATGATTTTGGATCAAAGATATGGATTGGTATCCCGACAAGAGAAGAATGGTAAAGTAACTGAGTAATGAACACTCAAGAGATAGCAGTCTACGCAGATGCTTCCATAACTTCAGGAGGTATAGATATAGGCATCTTGTGAGAGGAACGAGACACCTGACGATCTTTAAGACTATCGGATGGCTGTAATGCTCTACAAGCAGAGATTTACGCTATAAAAGAAGCAGCTGGTTGTATACGAGGGAAAATTGCTGATAAACCAGTAGGAGAAATCATGATATACTCTGACAACTTGGGCGCTTTAAGAAGCATCACCATGCATCAGTGAGATCGAAAACTGTGATGGACTACCGAGAAGCACTGTCCTGGCTGCGTCAACGTGAGGCTACTTTGTGCTGGGTGCCAAACCACGGTAATGTGGAGGGCAACCAAGAAGCAGACAGACTTGCTAAAGAGGGGGTCAGAGGTGAGACCGTGGCAGATGACCCACCACTTGTGACGATCAACACACTGAAGGAAGCTATAGGAACTTCCATCAAGACTAAGCTGCAAGAGACGTGGCAACACCGTGAGGACTGCGCTACAGCTCGAAGACTGTAGGCCAGTGGTAGGTAGCAAAAAGACAAAACAACTTCTAGAACACAAAAAGAACCTAGTACGCATAATTATTGTAGGTGTCATCACTGGCAACTGCCCCACGGGGGTAAACTTTGTTAGATGCAAGATATCCAAAGACGACTACTGCAGAGAATGCGGAGTGCAAGAAGAAACCATAGAACAGCTGCTGTGCCACTGTCGGGGACTGGAATAACGATGCTTTAAAACTTTAGGACAATGTTTTTTGGAGGGACTAGAGGATGTAGCAGAAGTCAACATCAGCGACATCGGGAACTTCGCAAAGAGCTGGAAGTGCTTTAACGCAAAAAAAAAGAATGAAAGGTCTCGTACACTAATAATACAGGTGTATCACAAACATGATCTCAAACCCCAGCAACCTAACCTAACATAAATACTTCAAAAACTAAAAAAATATACTTCTTTAAAGAAACTCATCTTTATTTTTAACTTTGATTGTAACTTTTTTGGGCATACCCTGTATAACTCACTATATTTTAAAGAAATGCTCTAAATTAACATACAGCTCACACAATTTCATTTTAATACAAACTCATTATTTTAGAAGCTTCCGCGTCGTTGTGAGTAAACTTACAAAAATCTAAAATCAAGTTAGCACATCTATGTCACTGCTCTAATAACACAATATGGCTACTATCTTTCAAAGCGCTTTGCCAAATCTTCGAGGTACAGATAACAATATTGCCAACATCTTATGCGGGTCTTTAGTTTTAAAATTTAGGAGTAACTGTGTGGGAAAGGAGTACGGGATACATTTTTATAAGGTTATAGAATTTAAACCATTTAAATGTTATCAAATTTTCTCCTATCTCTGAAATATTTCATAAGGTTTTTTTTAATCACATACACAGTTTAAGGATGAATAAATTCTGTCTCATGTTTATTCATATTATTTCTTTGTAACATATTTATATTTTTTAAACTAACAAATCTTCAAGAAAATTATCAACAATGTTCTTTAGTATATTTCAAAGGCTGAAATATTAATCTCACTAACATCTGCCTTTATTAATTTTATTTTTATCGAAATAAAACTGCTTTATAATATGTATATAATTATTTATTGCACCATAAAATTAAGTTTATATCTTTAAGTATAAGTAAAGTCTGTGCAACAAGAATATTTCGGCTTTTCGACATCCAAAAATTATGGAATATGTAATTGTAAAAATACTTGGCAAATTAAAATGCCAGACCATGACTGCAACTGTCATGTCTTATTTCGTTGTACTATAATTGAATAACATATCTATAATTAATTTTAAACTACTGATTGAATCACCATAAATAGTACATTTGTATATGTTTAGCTAAGAAAATTTTAGATAGGAATGAAAATGAGACAAATATTCCTAATTTAATTTTTTTTCTAAAAAAGAATATTAGAGTTATTTTGTTATATTACTTATAAAATATGATAAACACAACATTACAAAATCAAAACTTAACAAATAGAACGTCTGCCATAGAGGAATTGTTTTTTATAACAACTGATTAAACCTTAAAAATAGTTGTAGTTATCATACTGGAAAAATAGTACCATACGATTAAAAAAACGTCATCAAAGATGGCCTATAGAAGTGAAGATCAAACAACAAACCAAACCAAATGAGTATTTTTAAAGCAAATCCTATTGATCGTCATTTCCGAGCCAGCTTAGCGTAGTTTTTTTATCATACGATACATTGAAGTTTTTTTTTTGTAATATATATTTTATTGGATATGAATATTTATAATTTGGATGATATTTTTGAAACAAATTAATATCAGGAAGGATACGTGTCTAAACTGGTATTTAAAGAATAATTTCTGTAATTTCCTGCTTTAGCTAGGGCCTGACTGAAGTCTTGTGTGGTTGGATAAAATGATGTTGGAACAGTATGGATTGTTGGGGGATATCTGAAAAAAAAATGAATAATAAGACTTAATTTATATAAAAATAAATATTCTGCAAAATAAAGGAAATACATTTTTGATTGGAATGCTTGGAATGTCCGTCAAAACTTATTTTGGATCGTTTCTATCCTGTAACTATAATTTATATTTATTTCAGAATTTACATTAGAAGATTGGTGTGAAGAAAAAGAACTGTGTGCAGAGCTGGGAGGTAAAAAACGAGGTTGCGTAACATCGGTTCCAAAAAGCGATCAACGGTTTCAATAAACTATCCAGGCTTTTATAGTCTGTCCAACGACAAGATCCTTGACAGTGATAGATGTGTCTGTCATTTTAATTTCAAAGTAGTTTATTTTATTTTACAAAGAAATAAGTTGGTACAATTGGAACGCATAGCAGGAAATTAATATAATTTAAAATTTGACTGATAAGAAGTGATTACTTCAAAATATTGCGAAAAACTGCATAAAATTGACAAAATGTAATCGAGTTACTTTATTTAAACAAACGGTGTGTTAATACAAAACAGACAAGGACAAAACACCACATACCAAAAAAATATAAAAAGAACTATTTCTTACTTTGAAGTTTCAAGAAACTTTCTGCATTTATTATTATATTTATCAATATATCTTATGTAGAAATACAAATTTCTAATATTCCACAGGAATAAATAAAACAACATAAATAAAACAAACTATTTTATTAATAATAACACTACTTTCCAAATTTTATACCTTAAAGGTTGATTAATTAACTGTAATCTTAATTTTTTTAAAGCAGTTCCTTTTGACATTATTTTTCTGCAGGACTAAAATCCATTATTTACCTATCGTGTGATGTCGATATTTTACAGCTACTCCAGTAGTATGTTTAGTACGATCCTTGTAGCATATACGAGATGCACTTATCTACGACGAGATGGTATACAAACTTTATTGGGTCTACAGTTAATTTTCCCTCGATTTTTCCGCCACTTGACTTCAAAAGACACAAAACACAAGTAATAACACGAAACAAAATGCATAATCTTCCAAAACGCAGATATTTGACATAAGTTGACACAAAATTATAACCTATAATTTGGCAAGACTTTGCCAAGCCTCAAAAATCTAAAGGCGAGTTCAGAGAGAAACTAATAACTAAAGTGAGAGGGCTTGTGGAGCAGGGCATTTCGTAGACAAGTTTATTTTGTCACCGCGCATCCCAGACGCGCATAGCGTTTAGGCGGTCAAAAAAGGTAGTTTTCAACTTTGCAAGTTAAACATTTGACAGGATTAATTAGATTGTCAGTAGCTTTTTAGAAGTAGTTTTTTTTTCAGTAGTTCTAGAAGGAGATAACTAAAATCTGTTGATAATCGGAGCAAATCAGAGTAATAAATTGTTTTTGACTGAATGTGCCTGTTCTTTTAGCTTGTCAGAAGAGAAGATTATTGTCATTATTGATTATTTCAGATTCCACGATTATTCGGCACTTTTGTAATTTTTGTTTTGTGGTTGAGACCCAGACAAAACGTTTCCTTTAAAGGTGAGTTTTATCTCTGTAATTATTTTAACATGCCTAATAGTAACAGTAAGTGCACATAATAATCGTACATTGCTAATTTAATTTTTTTAATTTAAAACATCACATTCTTTTCTGATACCTATAGAACGACTAGGTATTATACCTGGTATTATTTCCAGTAATACAAATTATTTTCTTTAACTGCTAAGTTCTTGTTATAGAATAAAGGCTATCAAAAACATTGAATACCTACGGGATACCTACTGATACTCTGTAAGAGCTTCCAACCGTGCTTCCCTGTTCACTCCCAACCAAGTTAGATAAAAAAGATACTGAAGATTGCAGCCTTGAGTTGGAGTATGGCAAGAAGTATGGAGTTAAATAAATTATTATGTTCCTGCACAGTATTTTATTTATAGGTTTTAATGCTTTAAAGTCTAATAATAAATTTTCGTTGTCAACAAAATAATCTAAAAAAACTACAAAGATTTCTTATTATAAACTTGAAAGATTAAGATTCGGTTCAAATATACAAATTTTAAATTTTTGGCGCCAGTATATAGGTATGAATGCAACCTACTATATCGAGAATGCGCTCATAGTTCGAGTTAGACGCCACAGGCCGCGCCACTAACACTCTTAAAAAATTAATGTTGATCAGTCTCTCTCACTTCAGTTATTAGTGTTCCCTCTGGGCGAGTTCATACACATCGGCGTTTGTCGTTCGTCGTTCCGTCAAACCAATAAAATTGAAATATGATCTGTCATTTTTGAAATAAATCAATAAAACTGGTTAAAAACAACAAGAGACGACGTATGACAGATTTATATTTAAACCCATTAATAGTCAACTTAAAAAATATTAGAAACTTTTTTTAGTAAAATAAATAGATTGGTATGGGACGTCATCATCTGTCGAAATCTTACCTTAGAAAAAAAACGGAGTATAACCAAAAACTAACATTTCCAAATTTTTTTTTTCGCGAAAGAAACCTTATAATAGTGTTTCTGATGTCAAAATATACTACCCCTAACAGAGCTTTCGGTTGGAGCGCACCGTCCGCGACTTCGAACAACCGTGAGTTTATATGAACAATTTGACATGGATTAGTCACGCGGACGAACAGCGCGGACGCTCTGCTCCATCTGAGAGCGCTGTAAAAATATTTGCACTTATTGTATAAAGTCAACTTGTATATAAAGTATTTTATGCATAAAGTACACACTCGACGAGGCCACGTGTGTATGGCGTTTTTTGGGTTTTCTCTCTCAACAAAATACGAATCTGATTGTTTTGGTTCAACCTTTTTAGCTGTGTTTTCATTAATTTTAATAAAACAAATTGAGATTGTCAACGCTGTGCGTAACATTGTATTTTATTCTCTTTACGAAGGTTATAGAGAGATTTCATTGAAATGTAGTAAAAATTTAAATTAATTCTTTATGCAGAAAAGTATGTGGTCGATCCAACAATATTTTTGTTTTAAACTATTCGATAGACTATGGGATCCATTTTAAAAATTAAAAAAAACTCTAATTCGTAGGGTACTGTTCTGCACGAAACCCTTTGGCGACATACCAAAATAAGGAAAAAGCGTAAAACTTTCAGAATTGTATTGAAATTTGGCCTTAATTTTTATTATCATTGGTTGATGTTATACCGTGTGGTGCATTGGAACACGGGAAATAGGAAATCCCATGTACAGCTGGTTCCAATAAAATTGAATACGATTTAAAACATATTTTTATTATTTCGGGCAGTATATTCTATGATACCACAGTCCCCCATTTCTCTACTGATGCCATACTGGCGTTCTGAAAAATTTATTTGCCACTTTGTCAAAAGCAAAGTTGTTTTATACAATGTCATAATAACCTTAACATGTCAAAATACTTGACACATAAATATACACTGCCCAAATATTCGAAAAAAATGTGTAAAGAATCGTATTCATTTTTTTTGGAACCAGCTGTACATTTTGAAAAGGTGAAATATTATCTCCCCAGATAATTCTATGCAATAGTTGTATTAGACTTTTTTGAAGTGACATTACAGTTGTACTTTTTTCTAGGATATCGTTTCATTTGGGATAGGCATTTTAAAGTAATTTGCAAAAATCTACCTTAAATTAATAAAATTTATAGTACTACCCAGAGAAAGCTACAATTAAAATACCATAGACAAACAAATAAAAAGAGACTGACAAATCCCATGGTAAAGAGTGGGACCGCGTTCCCGTAGCGCAACTCAGAACAACAATTTTGAAACCAATTAGCAGGACCATGGCAGGACGTACGTCTTTATTGCTATCTTTCTTTATTATGTGTGCTTTATATGAAAAAGAAAGAGATAGGTATTAAACGTATCGTAAGAAATTATCGCATTTTCTGGCTGGCGGAAAATTTAAATTAGCCTTTATTATTAGTATTCTTTCATTCTGAAACTGAGATTTTTCACTTAAACTGATTTATCCCCTATACCACGTAAAGGGAACGTGGTGTAGGGAATAAATCAGTTTAAGGAAAATCTGCAGTTTCTTTCAGAACGAAAGAGTATTACTATTATAAGGGAAATTATAAAAAAAGCAAAAATTGTACTGTTTTATAAACATATTTATTTATACATAAAGACAAATAAACTTTTTATAATATAATAACAAAATAACAGTGTTTATTCCACCCACCTACCAATTTTAAATGCAGAAGAACTGATTGTTGCAGGAAACGATCGGCCAATTTTTTTAAAGGGCATTAAAAATCTTATTTTTGAAAAAACTGCCTAATAAAATTGCAATAACAAAGTGAATATCCAAGCAAAGAAGACTTTACGAGAATCATGATCCTGAACCATTTTCAAGTCCAGTTTTAATCCTAAAACAAAAGTGAAATAGGTATATTAAATAAGTTTCTGGTTACTATAAACCAGCCATAAAACTACCCAAAAAATGAAAAAAATTCATTGTATTAATTTGTTATTTTAAGAGAGGTTCGAAATATTTTTGACACTACTACTTCTACTTTTTTCTTAATAAGATGATAAATATAACTACTTACTTTTATTTTACCGGGTGTCTTTAACATATCTATCAGAGAAAGGGGACACCAATACATATAAAAAATAGATGATTTTGGCTCCTGCAGCAAATAAAATAACAAATAGTATAACCGAAAATCCATCATCATCATCATCAGCCAGCCCTTTGCGTCCACTGCTGGACATAGGCCTCCCCCATTTGCGCCCACTTTTGCCTATTTTGTGCGCTCTGGGTCCAGTTATTGGTGATCCTTTTTATGTCGTCAGTCCATCGTGTTGGTGGTCTTCCCTGGTTTCTTTTGTCAGCTCTCGGTCTCCATTCGAGCAGTGTTTTGGTCCACCTACCATCGGTCACTCGAGCCACATGTCCAGCCCACTTCCACTTGAGTGTAGCGATTTGTGACACAACGTCGATGACGCCTGTTCTCGCACGTATATCCTCGTTGCTTATATGATCCCGCA